ATCACCTCCATCAGCAACCCCAGCACAAGGCCTGCTGAGCACAGCCCTTGCCTCCAGGTAACTGCTTCCAGCTCCAGTCTCTTCCCACAGCCTGTTCACCTGCTCCAGACCCCTTCCCTTATGCACATCTTGCTGCTCCTCATCCCCTTAATGAGCACGGGGGTGAGGGGTAAGGGCAGATTACCTCCTCAGCTGGCTGGAGACTGTACGACTCCTCACCCCTCTAGTCAGGAAACACAAACAACCCTAAAGCTTTTAACATAGTAAAAAAAAAATAGAGCAGAAATATTAAATTTGAGCACAAAAATGGTTTTATGTACCAAATACACTAATAACTACAGCTACCCACCGGACATGAGCAACGTGAGACTGCTGCAGGCTGACTGGCTCTGTTGGGGTGCCCCAAACCTGCAGGCCAAGTACCCTCATCATTCACAATTCCACAGCCATCTCTGGCAAATCCTCCCTCACCACCCTCAGGAAAACAGCACCTCACTGTCATTAAATACAAATCTCATCTCCTTGGATTGTTAGCTGGAAGAGCCATACAGGCATTGCTTTACACGTGCCTGTACAAGGCCCATTGTTTATCAGTTTATATTTCCCTTCGGCCGTATCTCAGGTAAGAAGACACTCGAGACGCAGATCCTGTTGACCTAAGCCAGAGTCCAACCCCATGCGCTTCTGAGTCTCTAATCCCAAAGAGCTCCGGTGACGCTTTGAGACCCCCAGGCTGGGCCCCACGTGGGGCAGTTAAGTGTGGAAGGGGACAGGGATCTGAAAAAGGGAGCATGTAACTGATCCAACTGGTCTGAGGCCAGGGAAATGCCTGCAAGTGCACGCAGACCCTATTTCACATCCCTCGTGCCTGCCATACATCACCTAGACGCTGTGATCATTTTGCCTCCACCTGCAGGTGCCTCGGCAGAGCTGCCCCAGACTGTAGGACCGCTGCGTGCTGGTCTTCTCCACCACTTCCACTGCAAACTGCTCAGCTGAAAAGCAGCAGCAGAGGTGGTCTGCCCCAACCAGCCATCCTTCACACAGTCTCCTACATAATAAATAAAGATCTGCTCCTTTCCAACCCTCGAATCCTGCTCAATACAGGTCACTTCTACTTTTCCAAAGTCTTGAGACCAGCAGATGCAACCTACTGCACTCATTTCGCCCTGGCAGCAGGGCAGTGGCTCATCCCATAGCCTGAGGACGCTGCCAGATGGCATCCGGCTCGCACACCACTGCCACTCGGGCTCCAGCCTGTCTGTGCATGGCAGACAGGGAGCTGCCGTGCCCGCTCAGCCTCTGGCTGTTGTGCTACCAAATGGTGAAGGTGATGACCAGCAGAAACAACTCGAAGCATCTGCGCGGAGTTCAGCATCCAGTTTTCTAGTACCAGTGCAGAAGAACAGGTGTTCTGCACCGGGCCAATGTAAACTTCTCCTGCCTATCCAGAACCACACACGGTGACACAGGACATCTCCCACTACTCTCTTCCTATAGCATGTCTTAATGCCACTGTCTATGCTTTCCCAGCATTTCACCTAAATTTCTTCTAAAATTGTCTACAAAGTCTTTCACATTTCAGGATGGACTTCAACCATTTAAATGAACACCCTCCACTCATTCAGAAAACAAACAATTCAGTACACATGCATCCCCAAGAATAAGTTAAAAAACAAACAAAAAACAACAACCAGACCACACCATCTCTCATCACGCAAGATGCCAAGAAGCACAAGTTAAATTGCTGTCACTCCATTACTTCTGGTGTTTTAAGTGGATAGAAGAATAGGAAGGTCACGCTTCTCTGAGCTTTCTCATTCACTGTTTTATGAATCCCTAAGGCCCTGCTTGCCCTAAGGACTTTCTGAAGCAGTGTGCCTATTTTTGTTAAGACACATCCGTTTAAAAATAATGTGTAAACTCAAGCATACACACAGTAATGAGCCTAGCTGGTTGACTTGACATTCAGAGTGATCACTTGAGAAAAATGACAGCCACCATTTGGCAATTTTTTGGCTGGCAGAGGAAGAAAATAGTTTATGTTAAACTCTGACTTAATCCGAAAGAGATCAATATACAAAATAAAAGCAACACTAATCAAATGCAATGCAGAACAGAGGACATGACAGGCTTTTACAGCACTTTAAGAAGGTCAGAGTTTGCAATTCCTAAAAATATTTTAAAATAACAAGACCAAGTTTCTAGCATTTACAGGTTGATAGAGGGTTCCTGTCATACCCAAGATTTATGAGCATGATTTGCTGTACTGCAGAAGAAGTAACACTGCAGGATGCAAGATTTAGTTACCAAGAAATGAGATCAGGAATTGGCTGCGACTGAGACAGGTGAAAACAGATCTTCTACCTATAAAAGCTCAAGCGTGCTCTGCAATCTGCAGTCTAGACAAACCACACTCTTCTCATCAGTTCCTCCTGCTGCACTGGAGCACTTCCATTTAAACGAACACTGTCCTGCTATCAGTATAAAAATGTATGCCACATCTCCCATTAGCGAGATGACGCATTGCAGAGTGTATGACAGGAATCCTCAGGGAATACTTTGGGATTAGAAGTGAAATGCTGCACAGATGGGATTGTTGGGTAAGGGAATCCTCGCTGCCCCATATAAGGCGCAGAACATTTAGAGCTTTGACAAAAACAGACGAGATCAGGCCATTTCACCTTCTAAATATTTCAAATACATGACATACTTGAAGATCTTAAAAGTTGGGACAGTTGTAGAGTATAGATACTCATGTTGCTCATTTTTAAGTACCAAATATACAGTAACCTCTAGGGGAAGCTGAAGAGATACATACACACTTAAGGAGGACAGATTTCTCACGCAAATTGTTAGAAGGTGAAGATGGTGCCCTATTTCTCTCTTCCATTCCAACTTAAGATCGAACCCCAGTTACTCTGGATACACTGCCAACCATCAGCAGCTAATCTGTTGGGAAGCAGTTCTAGATTTTGCCAGGGTTACATCATGATTTGCTGTCAAGAAACAGGTTACACAACCTGTAAAGCCACTAAACCTTCTGGACAAGTGAAATGAATTTATGGGAAGCTACTGTACCTCCCATCGCTGCCTATGTAGTCATTGTTGCCCTGAATATCAAGAGATCAGGTATCCGGAGGATTTGCAAAGGCAGGGAGGGCAGCTACGTGCTAACTCCAGCTGAATGCCAAGGGGAGCTGGGCCCGATTTCCAAAGCCCTCACCTGACATAGGCCAGCGCGAGGTATTAGCACCAAGGCAACAGGCTCACTGTTCAAGTATTCTTCCAGCTGCTTCGGGTTTCCCTACACATAACTGAGAGTCCAGCCATTGTTTTCATATCTGGAATTGGATTTTGAAATGCTTGTACTGAACTCCTACAGGAATCTGTCAGCCTCCCTCCCATTAAACATTTCCCTCCAGCCCCCCACTGTTCTTTTATCTAATATACTTTATCAGAGTTTTGATGTCTCCTTCTGCTTATAACAGCCCGAGCTGATTTATGAGATAACTGTGGAGTCCCAGTACAGAGTCAGAGCTTGCTGGGTCCCACCGAGTTCAGCTCCAGTACCTTACAACGTGGTCATGGCTGACTGGTATTTGTCTGTGGTGTTCCACAGATCCCCAGTGACGCAAGCTCTACACGAATCTCCACAGGCAGTCTTCTTCCAGCATACTGATATCCTTTTTTTTTTTTTTTTGCCTCCTAATTGGAAACATAAACTTGGGTTGCTGCAACTGGAAGACATTATGTCTTGTCCTACCCACCACAGACAAGAGGAAACCCTTCTTCTTTGCAACAGCTCGTGAACATTTCTTTCTCTTCAAACCCCATTCCCAACCTTTATGGGAACTTCTTTTTTTCCTGGTCTTTCCGGAGCCCTATTTACTATGCCCTTAGCCATCCTTGATGATCTTTACTAGACTGTCTTGTTGGTCTGCTATTTTCTTAACATGTATCACCCAAAAACAGTCTTCTGTATAAGGCTTTGTGCTCATAAAAATAAAGGAACACCTTCAGACATCATCTGAGCTTTACTGCCACTTATACCCCACAGGAGGGCAACTTCTTTACAAAAGCTTAACACTGCTTATTCATCTCTAGGTTTCACCCCAAAGCCAGTTTCCAGTTCAAGTTATAGCCATAAAAGGCCAATAGTGGTCATCATTTAACTGATGATAAATGGTTGGTGATCTCTGTCTAATTTTACTCAGACCCCCTACACTCCACGGTCACAGAATATAGGACCATGCTGTAGGCAGTCTGCTACAGCTTTAATCTGCTCACAGCTCCTAAAAGATGTAGGTGGGGATCCCCACCATGAACAAGCTAAATTTATCATCTACTTTTCCTGCGGGAAGTCTCCTCTTTTAAGCCTAATAAAGAAAAGCTCAGCTATCTTTTGCAACTAGACTTCAGGCATCTCAGTGGTCTACTGAGAACTTTCACAAACACTGTATTAATTTTAAAAAATGGTGTTAAAACACAACCGCATGCATTCACATATCCTTTGTTTTTCTACATTATCTGCTGTACCAAGATTAAAGCACTTCAAAAATACAAATCTTCACAAGCTGTCTATGAAAAAGCACAAACATTTCCTTGGATCAGATGGAGAATCACAGCTTAGAGAGAGGTTAAGTCAACTGCCCAAAGACACAGAATTGCTGACAGTTTGGGACATCAGTATCTTTCTTATGCTACACATATTTATGTTGAATCTGCATAGTATGGACAGCTAGATAACACTTTTCAATCCACAGCCATACACAAAATATGTTTTCTCCTTAATAATGAAGAGCAAGCACTACATGGCAAGATAAGTACACAATACCTCATCATGAAGAACAATCAAATGTGAGCACTGTCCTTCTACATAAGTTGTCTGGTGGGACCTACCACCACAAAACACGTCTGCACACACTGAAAATGGTAAGCGAGACACATTCTGCCAGAGGAAAGTGTGCCCTTTCAGAGTCCTTTAGTTTGAACTTTACCTTTCCACAAGCCACCATGGACAGGGCAAGCTGGTACCAAAGGTGAAATTCATCAAATGCAAACTTCATGGCTCTCTCCAAGCACTGCAAAATAAACATCGGAAGAAATGTCAGGAATTGTTTTTGATATCCTTTGTCAATACTGCTGTTTGGCATGGCTCAGTAAGCAAATTAGGGCAGATGCCTTGTTGTGGAGCAAATATGTGTTTTTTTTTTAAATGACAATTTTCTTCCTCTTAGTTAATGGGGCCTGCTACCATACGATACCACTTTAAATTAGGGCTGCTTTATTCAAGAGCCTACATATGAATTAGCTTAAAGTCTCAAACAGTTCTGACCTGTGCTGCCACAGGCCTGTAGCTGTTTCTACTAATTGCCAGCTAGTGTGCTTCACCTCCCTGACCAACAGCCAACAGTTACTGAAAGGCAGGTTTTGTTTGCACATTTCAGATGGAAGTCGAGCCAGAAGACAGAGGTACCTCAGAAAGCATGACATACTGCCCTCTTCTGCCCAGTGTGATGCTGAGAAGGTCGTAGACTGCAGAAGCATCCCGGAGGCTGACAGCCCGGTCATCCTGCTGGTCAGGGGCACGGCTGATCACTGCGTCCCGGTTTGCCTGGGGACAGACACAAACATAGCATCAGACCTCAGCAGAGCAAGGAAACAAAACAAAACAACACAACTCCTCCACAGGAAGCTCTACCCATCACCCATGGTACATTGTTTATAATTGTCTCAAGATTTTATTTATTTTGTTTTTGTTGTTTTGTTTTTTAAATTAAAAATATTCCCAGGTCAGCAAGGTGTTTCCATACAGAAGTAGACTACTTTTTTTTTATCCACAGAAAGCAAACTCAAGAAGACAGCTGTACGTACAGAACAGACCTGCTGGGAATACTTCATCTGGATTTTTTTTTCAGAATCAGAACATTAGGGAACTGACCTAACAGATCAGATTCCCCAAGACGTCAAAATACAAACTATCCTTAATCCATGTTCTTTATTACTTCAATTAGCTGCAACTGTGATAAAATAACAACCATGGAAGCAGCTGTCCTCTGTGCCTGCAACTGTTTTCTTCTCAATACCGTACGTTTCTCTTATTCTTTTCTGCTACTCACTTTTTATTTTTTAATTTGAGCAGGTTGCCTGAGTAATCATATTTGCCATCAATTTAATGCAATTAGAAGCCTGGGCAATGCAATACCAAATAATTATTTGGAAAATATCTTATTTTGTAAGTATTAATTTTGCATAATCTATCAGTTCATTGCTCAGCTTAGATACATTTAAAAGAAACATTACTTTTGACAGAAAATGATCAGTCTAGCAGCTTGCTAGGATGTTGCAAAATACCACATCCCACAGACTGAGATTTACCTCAAGATCCCAGCCTCTGTTTTCTGAGGACAAAGAGGGAAATCTTGAACCCAGAATGAAAAGAAAATTCCCTCTGGTTTCTGAACATGACTCCCTAACCTCTGAGAAAGGCAATACTGTATGCTGCTGAGCACAGCGGCATACACTGAGCACAGATACACTGCCCTGGGCTCCTCAGCTGGACGAGGTGCAATGTAGGACATTCAGGTCTGACATCTAAGAGATCAGAAAAATTAGGAGACTGCAAACAGTTTCACCTGGGGCAAAAACAAACAAGATGTTTTCTCTCTAAAGCAGGGACGCTACGAAATTTATTTTATAATACTCACTACTATAATCTTCCATCTATTTCTTTTTAATTGCAGGGAGCTTTTTTTCCTAAAAAGGTTAAACACTGGAATTAAGTGTAATAAAAATTTCCAGAATATGCAGCTCTACAGCCCACGCATATTTCAGGATGATTAAGCTGCAACTGTTTCATCATGATATTATCTGTGCAATACCCAGTTCCAAGCATTCTTCATCACAGCTGAGACAGCAAACACAATTACTGCCAACCAACCCAATCACAACCAAGAGCTAATGGCAAACGCAGCTAAAGGCAAGCTGACAGGGCAGACTCAGTCTAGTGTTTGGATTGCGTACAAAAATTTACACCACCTCTTGGAGCAAGGGAAGTGGTTTCTTTTTTTATGTAAATACAGAAGACATCATTTGTGATTTAAAAAGATAGCCCACACAATACATTGTATCAGAGAATAAGGGTGAGAAAATAAGAAATTCCTGCAAGCAGAGCACAGAAGCATGGCTTATCTGTCTTTATTAGCAAAACAAAGTAAATATAAATGGAAAAGAAAGTGTTCAAGTTCTGTTTGGATTTAACCCAAAACTACTTCAAAAGAAAAACAAAATTGCTGTAAAAAAGAAAAAAAAAAGAACATATACAGTATGATTCTGAGATTACTATTTTAAAAAGAAAGTTAAAGCAGTTCCAGAATGATCCTTACTGCCAGGTGAATACTCCTAGATATATACAGTAGCAATAGCAGATTTTTCCATGAGTTATATTAGAGCAATTGTTTGCAGAAAGTAGCTAATGAGATACCACCTGCGTGCTCTGTAGTCTGATCAGCCTCCCATTACAGCCACCTATAGCCTGATGCTGTTTTTGGGTATCCATCTAGCACTGAGCTATGGCTTTTAAATTGCTGCATTAACACAGAGAAAATTAATCAGAACTAGAGAGTGCCCATTAATGTCTCCTAACAGATGTTGGTACTAGATGCAACAACATGCCCAAATTCTGCAATAAACAGGAACGAGACATTACATGTGAGAACTGCAGTCACACTGAACACGTTGTACTTATCGCACTTCACCTAGGCAGAGAGCAGTTACAACCAACATATGCACAGGCATGACTAATATTCCTTCCAAGGTCATAAACTTGCTTATTTAACTCAATCCTTTAAATCTCAAAGCCACGGAAGGTCTTTGCAATCCATCACTCTCTGCTTCCACACATGGAAGTTGCCGCTGAGCAAATACATCAAGTCACTTCTACCCCGACAGCGTGGTTTATGGTTATGTAATTACTGGCCCTATTTCCAATTGCTAATGCCAGTCGCTCAAAAATCAAGGAGCCCTCATATTGCTACAGTGCCATAAAAAAAAAAAAGACAAGATGATGCAAATCTCATAACAAACACTAGTAGGAAGAGCACAGAGTGTGTCTCATACAACACTGCAAATCATCATCCCAAGGCTCAAGGTACCAGTTACTTTTGCAGTGTTACATACAGGAGGGCAGAGGAGGAAAACGTGAATCACTTACTTGAAATCCTCTCGGGGAAACCAGAATGTTTCTAGGGACTCTCAAAAGGAAGGATACTGTGATCCAGATCACCATTAGCCAGGTTTTCTTTGTTTACCTTTGTGTACACTTCAGTGGGGCAATGAGAAATTCTGACAGTCCCAGGTAAGTACACAGGCAAAACAGCTGCAGAGCTGGTGCAACGCTGCATATACTGATTTTGTCCAACAGCAAGTTTTACTTACCGAAAGGTACAGACAGACTTCAGTGACCATTTGAGTCTGCATGCATTCTAAGCCATTATCTGAACATTATTCCAACACCTGTGTTTCTGCTCTTTCAGGCCATTAGTTTTCCTGAACGCAACTGGAAAAAGGACTATTTGTAGAAGGTTTGCAGAAGGCTGACCAAACAGCTGCACCTAGGCAGCAATTCCTGCTTTGTCCCATTGCATTACCTCCTCCTCCACTATAAGGAGCATCAAAACTGCTACAAATACACTTCCAGCACCCCCGGTATGAGTCTTCCTTTTAAGCTGTTCCCATTGTAACACAGACGTGCCTCACTGCACACAAGTGGGATGGAGAGAGATGGTGAGTCATGCCATCAGAAGAAGAGACCCTCTGTTCAAGGCTGTCGTGTAGGATGGAGAAGGTCACTCCTGCTACCAACAGGAGTTAGTGTAATTTGCATTATTGCACAGAGGAAAACATACAGTCAAACCCTCTTTATTTGGGGTATTTCTCAGTTACAGGGCAACCCAAAGATGCATCGCATTTGCATATTTTGGGATGTGTTACAGACGCAAGCATCTCTGCCGGCAGGTGGCTCAGACATGACACCAGCCCTATTTTGGGACATAAACACACCCCGGAGTCAGCCCAGGCTGAGCAGCACACAGGCCCATGAGCACCTTCAGCCCTTCCTCCTGGCACGATGCCCGCAGGCTGCATGCACCCCAAAGGCTCCAGCATAGACTGGTGCCCACGAGCTGCCCCAGTGCTGAATCTTGCTGATCTCTGTGCCAGATTTTATGTACATGAACAGTTTACCTAACAATCCTGCTGAGCAACAGGCAGCTTGTGTCTTCGTGTCCACATACACAATCTACTCACCTGCAGCTGAGATAAGCCCCCTAGCCACAGAGGATGTGCCGTACCTCGCTGACACTGCTATGCCTCTCACATGCTAACTACAGCTTATTTATGCTGTGTTTAGTACATGGAGCTGCAGAAGGGAAAAGAGCCACAGCAAATCCAAAGAGCCATTACTTCAGCAGATATTACGCACACAGTTACGCTGCAGAAAATTAAATTTTACCACAACACAGAGATGTTCTTCTTAATAAAAGTCAAGCAATCATATGAATTACAATGGAGCATATTCCACATAGCAGCCCCTTCTCACTGCAATTAGCTATAAAGTATCCTTTAATTGCTCACTTTGAAACATGGCTCCCCCTGCTTTGTTTCAAAGAAGAAAAAGAAAGCAATTAAAATCTTTAATGAGTGCCTGCTGCCTGCGCCCTAATTCATGGGCATTCTAATGTTCAACTTGTGTCTTTTGAAAGGAGACATAATTGCCAGATCCACTGCAACCCAGCTATACAGAACAGCAGCATGTTTTACAGTGTACTGTAATAATGTAATTGGTGTGATTCAATACTAACATTAAGGGAGAAAAACAAATGCTATGTGTGGAAGATCGACAACAAGCCTTGGAAATCGTGCAATTGATGCCTCTACTGCTGGGAGGTGGGAAATACTCAGCCCACATCCTTGGGTCTCCGTTCTCTGCCATGGCACAGATCCTTTCACATCAAGAGGCTACTGGATTTCCACCTGAGGTGCTATCTCCACACAGCATGTGAAGGCTCTCCTCACCAACATACACAAAGAAAGTATTCAAGGTTGACCACAAGGCCGCTGTGAAAACGGGAAGCAGGTGGAACAAGGAGGAAATACCATACACCAACCCCTCCCAGGCCTGCTCTTACAGAAATACCACAACCTGCTCCATTTAAGAGCAGAAGCACAGAGAATGAAAACGCAGTGCCTGTATGAGTTGTCAGGCATCTGTCTCGTTTCTGGAAGGCAATAGCTCCCAGGGCCTCATCTAGATGTCTGGCAAAATAGCCCATGGATACAAAGGGGCTGGAAGGCTGAACTTCTCTTACCCAAAGCACAAATGCAGCAGAGTAATGAGTTCAGTCTGTGTCAGCAGCAATTTCACTCAGGATGAGTAAGCAACTCCTTTTCTACAAGTATCAAGGAGGCACAACAGTGTCAGAAGCACAAAGCAAGCCAGCCAGTCATGTCCCCAAAACAAATCCGTGCCTGTCTGACCTACTGAGGAGGTCTGGCTCACAAGTGAACGTGCTACATACTGCTCGTGGTCCTCTCTTCCCTCAATGTGAACGCTTT